CCCTAGGGGTCGTGGAGGGAGACGGTGATGCCATCAGGCCGACCGTCGGATATTTCTCCCACCAGCAGCTCAGCTATTGGGTTGCTCACGCCGTGGACCCATGGGTGGTTGCCACTCTGACCCATGGTTACCGGCTACAGTTCCGACGGCGGCCTCGTATCTCAGGCCGGGTCAAGATGACTGTAATCGCCGACCCGGTGAAAGCTCAAGCACTAGACCAGGAACTTTCCGCCCTCCTGGCCAAGGGCGCAATAGGGCAGTGGACCCTCTGCAACAACCCAGGGGCTATTACTCGACTTACTTCCTTGTGCAAAAGAAGACGGGCGGGTTTCGTCCCATTTTAGACCTGAGGGGACTCAACCAGTACCTAAAGGAGCTGCCCTTCCACATGCTCACAACAGCAGAAGTCCTTCAAGCTGTCACAAGGGAAGAATGGTTCACGTCTGTAGACCTGAAGGATGCATATTTTCATGTGCCTATTGCGGCAGAACATCGCCGCTTTCTCAGGTTTGCCTATCGGGGTCACCACTGGCAGTTCCGGGTACTTCCATTCGGGCTCTCTCTCTCCCCAAGGGTGTTCACTCGGTGCGTGAAGGCAGCCCTCTCTCCTCTGCAGGCCTGCGGAGTGAAGATTCTGCCGTACTTAGACGATTGGCTTCTCTGCGCCCCGTCTCAGGCCTGTGCCTTTCACGACACAAACCGCCTGCTCGCTCATATGTCCCAGTTAGGCCTCAATGTCAACCTGGAGAAGAGCTGCCTGATCCCTTCCCAGACGACCACCTTTCTTGGGGTGGTTCTGGATTCATCTTCAATGAGAGCTCGCCCATCCGCTCAAAGGGTGGCCGGCATACTCCAGCTGGTCAATCGGTTCAGGCTGGGCAAGCAGCTCCCCTATGTTGCCTTCCTGCAACTACTCGGCAAGCTGACATCAGTCACTCGGGTGGTGCCCTTAGGCCTGCTGTCACTTCGCCCCTTGCAGAGGTGGCTCAACAGCTTTCGCCTGGATGCCAGGCTGCACAGGCATCGCAAGCTCGCAGTGACGTGGTCATGTCTTCATGCCTTGACTCCATGGAGGGACGAAGATTATTTGTCCAGGGGTGTCCCCATGGGAGTGGTAGTGTGTCGCAGGGAAGTGGTCACAACGGATGCCAGCTCCATGGGATGGGGGGCTGTATGGCAACGCAGAGCGGTTCAGGGCCGCTGGGGTCAAAGAGACCATTCCAAGCATATAAATGTGCTGGAGCTGCGTGCAGTGCACTTGGCACTCAGGCACTTCCTGCCTCACCTGGAAGGGAGGCATGTACTTGTTCGGTCGGACAACACCTCTGTTGTCTACCACATCAACCATCAGGGGGGCACCAG